AAGTTATAGTACTAGTAAAAGCGTAACTAATATCTCTTGAAGCTATAATAGCCTTAGCCTTTCTCCAATCCAAAGCTAATAATAAAAATGATATATACATGAATTTATTCGTCGTCCAATGGTCATACAAATATGAATTAGGACTCATTGGATTCGTCTCGATGAGACGTGTCAAATGGTGCTAAGATCATGTGTCTAGCACCAATAGATAGCTTGCTAATGCCAATTTTTTATAAATCATTTAGTGTGAATTAACTACGATCTATTTATGCTAGAGACATGATCTTACCACCATTTGACTCGGCTCATCGAGACGAATCCAATGAGTCCTAATTCATATTTGTATGACCATTGGACGACAAATAAATTCATGTATCAGAATTTCTAATTTTTAACGCTCTAAAATTTTAAAAAAAATGCGAAACTTGATATTATTCGTCATCCAGTGGTCGTATATGAACAAATTTGTATTCATTGGATTCGTCTCACTGAGACTCGTCGAATGGTGCTAAGATCATGTCTCTAGCACCAATAGATAGCTTGCTAATTCCAATTATTTATAAATCATTTAGCGTAGGTTAACATGTGATCTATTGATGCTAGAGACATGATCTTACTATTATTCGACGCGTCTCGTCGAGATGAATCCAATGATATATGGCTCAACTTTGTACAATTACTAGATGGATGGTGTTACCCCTAGTCATGTGTAGAGTTACAACTTACTGCGCCAGAAGATCATGTGGAAAATTAGGATCTACTGTGCCCAACTGTGCCAAGCCGACCTAGCCGCAGCCTACTTAGCCTATTATTTCTATTATATTTATTATATTAATTATATTTAATATAATCGATATAATTATTTTATTTATTATATTTAATTTATTTATTATATTTATTATATTAGTTATATTTATTATATTAGTTATATCTATTATATTTATTATATCTTTATATGTAGTAACTTTTATATAAATAACGTTGGTATTTTCCCTCGTTATAAGTTGAGTTCCTTCAGTTCGAATTAGTTTACCTTTAGTTCCTATTAGTTCTTATTCTTGTAATTATAAAGTTCTATAATAAAGTATAACCTTTTACACTATAAACAAACTCCTTATTTTAAGCGTGTCTTGTTTGATTGGATTTCAGTTATAGTTAAACGTACTTAATCTCCCTGACTGCAAATCATAGTTAATCTATTCAACGTATCGAATCGGTTAACAACAGCTATTCGATTTTTCACATTTTTATAAAAATTGGATTAAACCGAATTGAACTGCCAGTTTTTTGATTTGGTTCTTACAGATTTTAGCTCTAATCCGAACCGTTTATAATCTGGACCAAACTGACCCGTTTGGAGCTTTAGTCTTTAATAATACCTTCATTTCAGTCTATAATTATTTATAAAAGATTCGTAAAAAGAATATTCAAATTATATAAAATATAAAATCTGTTGATATTTAACGAATTCTAGTATTTTTTTTGTTAGTTTCAGGGATTGAAACTGGTTAGTGTTAACTGGTTAAAGGATTTTGAAAATTGGTTAACCAGTTAAAACTATATTTATTATAATTCTAGTCAGATTTATTATAATGCGGCCCAGAGACATGTAAATTATAGCTACGTGTTCCTAAACTTGAAGTTTTAATGCCAAATTTTTTTCTATTTATTTATAATAATTTTAGTGATATATAGTCTTCCTATAATTAAATATGCAAGTAAAATCAAAAATTGGTACAATTTGCAGTAAAAAAAGTTTTTAAAATATTTTTAATATTAACTGATTATTAACCGAGTTTTAACTGGTTAAGGTTTTTTTGGACAATTTCAGATTCATTATTTAATTAATAAATTTGAAATCTCCCAACTTTTCTTTTTTTGCTAGGTTTATTATCATTATTATTACTTTCACTTTCTAACAATTTGACATTAGCATTATCTTAGCTTAATATTTGTAATTTGAGATTATTAATTTCAGCCCAAAGAACTTCATTTTTGTGATTGATATACTTATTATATGAATATAACTTGATGTAATCTTAACAAAATTCATGTAATTCTGATTCTAGCTGGATATTTATAGAGAATGATCTGGTTGCATTTCAATTGGTTTATAAGATAATTTTTTTTCTTTTTTCTTTTTTTTCTAACTTTTATGTAGTGAGTTCTGTGAGAATCCTGCCTACTATTAAGATAGGTCAACCTGTGACCTAAGGTAAGGTTTACATATAAAACTCTTTAAAAATTCTACTATAAAAGGAAATTTTATGTTACATTGTTATGATTTTTTTCCTTTTTAATCAATTAACCAATAGAATTTAAGCAAATCTTAAGGTAAGGTTTCATATGAAAATGAAATTTCTACTGGTAACATATCTTAGTAGTAGGCGGGGTCCTGTTCTGTGATTGCCTTGTAAAGAAAGAGGGGCATTTATGCTAAAATAGGCTGTTTCAAATGTACCTTACTTCTGAGCAAATATACTACCTAACAGTATACATATAGGATGCTTTTCAGCATGATGAAGTTAATTATATTAGATTGTAGTTTAGAATTTTAATTTACTTGGTAATATGCTTTAACTTTTATTTAATAAATTATCAAATACATTGCAGTTAAAAAAAAATACTTTATCTATAAAGTTTATTTATAATTATATATTTCATATTTAAGATAAAAAATGGTAAGTAAAAGGTAAAAGCTTCTTTTTAAAATTATTTGGTGCAAATTATTAAATAGAATGTTGAGAATTTAAAAAATTTACAGAAATTTACTTATTTCTTATTTCTATAAATTTTAGTTTTTAATATTTAGAAAGTAAACCAAGCAAAAAAAAAGCCATTTTTTATTTTATTTTTAAAAGTTAATGTTCTAAAGGCTAATTTAGTATTATCTAAATAAAAAAGTTCTGATCCTATATTCTGGATCTAGATATATTCATGAACATCCCAAAACACCAAAGACTGGGCATAAACAGGCAAAATAACATATAATTTCTGGGAACTGTATATTGATTAAATTAATCCCTAAATTGTTGTAATATTGTTGTTGATGCTATTGTATTGATCCATAAATTAATAAGTATTACCATGGCTTCTTGCCAAAAATGCTTCAGGTATATTCTCCCAGTATGTATTATTCTTGTAAAATCAGACTAATAATAAACATTTTGTAACTTCTGCGCAAATAAATATTTGATGACAATTTATACTACTTTTGCATATTATTTATTATTTGTCACATTATTTCATATCACTTATGTTGCATTTACGAATTCAGAATAAAATTAGTCTTTTTAGATTTGAAATAAGAATTATCTATCCATGATTTATTTTCTCTTTATTAATTTATTTCGAAAAAGTGGTTTATAAGAATTATAAATAAGGTAATTATTGAAATAAATCTTATCCTCTGTATGTGAATAAAATGAATTGAATGTATGCGTTATTTAAATTCTTAAACAGATGCCAAAAAGAAATCATAAAAAAATGAGAGAAAAGGAAGACACGTGCTTATCGATCAAAATCGATAAAGTGAATAATGAATGATCGGATTATTAAGTTTTTTTTTTGATTCCCACTAAATATATTGTTTTTAATTGATTTTTTTTTTTAAAAAAAAAAAAATCACATGAAGGAACACGCAATGAAGTTATATATGCAAAAAAAAAAGATTTGAGAATATGCAAGAAAAAAAACAATGTTAATTTTTTTTAAAAAAATACTACAGGTAAAAAAAAAAAAAAAATTTTAAAGAGGACCGGGAGTGAATTTAGAGGTCCTCATCCATAGCATCGCTGCCAGGATCTGATAAGTCAGTTCCGGCTTCAGAACCGAAAACTTCTCTAAATTCAGGCGATTCATAGTCTGCCCGAAAAAAGATAGAGTTGGCGGTTGCAGCCGAACCAACAGAAACGACAGACGTCGTTCTGCTCATTCGAGCCCCATTTGAGACAGAGCTAAGGTCTGTTGAAACCTTACTCTTTTTGCTCGACTTAGTCGAGCTAGACGACCTCGTTCCGTTGTCAGAATCATGATCCTGTGCGACTTCCTCGTATTTCCTTTTTTCAACTTCGCGAACGGTCCGTGACCGCGTTGCGTAATGGCTGGTTGTGGGTGTAGCATCATCTTGGAGGCTCAATGAACCTCGTCTTGATACGCTGGCGCCGGAGGATGCCGAAGATTCGGCATAATTAATTCGAGTGGCCCGGCGCGTACCACTTCTTGTGCGGCTAGCAACTATTTCAGAGTTTGCGTGCAGTAAAGCAACTCGTTGTGCTAATTTTTCTTGACGTGCTTTTCGAGCATCGCGCTTTTCTTTGAGCTAATGAAGATATGAAAGTTTATATTTATGTTAATAGTAATTAACAAAATTATTAATTATTAACGATGTTTACCTGAATTGTTTTTTTGACTTCAGGTATCAATTCTTCGACCAATCTTTTATAAAGATCTTTGTCGAGTTTTGCGGATGGCTTGATCTCTTTCGGATTGTTGATATAGTTTTCCACGTCTTCAACTGTCGTCGTTATTGCCTCCCAGATTACTTTAGCTTGCTTACTTTTACCCTTACCTTTTAGAATTGTTTCTCGGTAAAGCCTTGCACCATCTACATATTGTTATTGGAAAATTTTATAACATCAATCAATCAATCGGCAACGCTAATTTTTATCTCTTTCTACATAACTTTGATTAAAAAATCAATTTAACAAAGTATTACTTACAGCCAAAATAATAATATTTTCTTCCTCTTCGATCGATGCCATATGGTTTTACTTCAAAGGCATTCTCCTCATTCTTTTTTCCGTTTCTGTATTCAAATTCAACCATTTTATGGATTGTAGGATTATCTTGGAGTTGCCATGTAATAAGTTTATTCAATATCAGCACCTAAAAAAAAGAAAAGAGAAAATTAAATTCAATTGGATTTATCATTTACATCATACAATAATATATACCTTGTCCTCGACGCTGAGTTCATAATAGCTTTTGACTCTACGGAGTGGATTAAAATCTTTATAGAAATGATATCCTTTTTTAATTTTCTGATCGATCGTATCTGAAAGCAATTTTTGCCATCGCGATCGTCTTTGTAAATATAAAGAAAGATTTGTATCAATAACTTACGAAGAAGAAAAATGTAAACAGAATATTATACTTACTCAATTAGCTTCTTGCGATTAAGACAACAGTTATTAAGAAAAGTGCAATGTAAATTCTCGATCAGGTCATTCTCATACTCAGCTGCAATAGATCGTTCTAACTCCTAGACAAGCAAAACATTAAAATTTTTATAGTCACAAATTAAAGATCGCTGACATTACCTCTGGCCAGAATTCAATTCCTTTCAAAACAGACTTAAATTTATCACAGAAAGCGACGATATAGCAAGTTTCTTTCATCGAACGAACTTTCAGTTCGTTTTCCATAGTTGTGTTAGTTTCAGACGTTGTAGACATTGTAGAAAATACCGATAAAGTTGTATACAAAAGTAATATAAACTAACTACATATAAAGCTCTATAATATTTATAATTAAAAAATTGTGCAAAAAAAGGGTATTTTATAAGAAAAGAGATTAATTGTAAGTCGAAAGATCGAAATTATTAGTTGATCAAAAATTTATCAGCTTCGCAATTTATTTTAGTAAATCACGAGAAGTGCGGCGCAGCATTTGACATTCCTATAATTTACTCATTTTAATAAAATATTTTTTTATTTTAACCTTATTTTAGTTATTAATTTAAGCTATTATTATCAAAAATTGTTAATTTCTATGTATTCCTTTTATTTTAAATTAATATTGTATTTGAACTCATTTAACCCAATAATGATTTATTTATGTGAAATAAATGGGTAAAATTTAACACAATAAAAAGTTTAAACATGTAATATATAGAAATAGTGATGTATTTTAAATGATTTAAAACTTTAATCTAACTTTAAATAACAAATTAAGCATTAAAAAAATGTGTCTTCAATATATTATAATTATATACTAAGCTTTTTATTAGTTTATATATTAGAAATACAAAATTCTTCTAGTATTATTTTTTCATATAAAAATTTTAATTCGGAACTAATAATTTAACCTACATTACGCATTTTTATTCCTCTTCCTTTTAAGAGGAAATATTCAAATTTTGATTATGAAATATCTTATATTTATTAACATGTTAAATTTCATTATTATATTATTTCACTTAGAATTTTATTCGTGCTTGTCTAAGGTAAATTATTATCGTTTTCAATAAGATAGAAATTGTGATATATTGGTAAAACTTTATAAAATTAAAGAGGGCATGTGTGTTTATAGTTGTGGTAATAGAAAATTTAAGTACTTAATGATACGATAAAAATGTTCCTTCAAAATGATAAAGATCTATTGAATTGTAAAATCTGTAATAAATTAATAAAGGCACTAAAGGCACTTAATAAACAGAAAAAATATTTTTTATTCAGTATATTGTCATAAAGTAATTAAAAAAAATATACATTTATTTAGGACTATGATGTATTCCAATTCTGCAGGATATTGTCGTCAGTCCGGTGTGATCTTTTTTCCGGAAGAGGTTTCAATTTCTTTCTCGGTAAAGCCTGATTTGTCTTGTACTTTATCCAGCTCATCAATATCGTTTGTGTCACATTTTGTCCTTTTACTACTATACTTCTCGGACTTTCCCGTATCATCCATTTTTTCGTTCTGTTGCAATTCAATTTCAACCTCCTTCTTTTTCCGTTTATTACGTGGTTTTCGTTTTTGTGGTTCGATTTTTTTTTCTTGAATAAAGTCAAACACGGTTCCCTCAGATGGTTTATAAGGTTCTTCCACGTAATTTTGTATCCAATTAACTGAAGCTAAAAGGTCTTGTTCTGGAACATAACCTGGAATAATCCAATATTGTTCGATTCTACCATCTTTTTCTTCCGATTTTGGTACATACGAAATTAACTCGAGAAGTAATCTGATTATGGGATCGCTATTAAGTGCTTTCCTTTGTTCTTCGTTTTCATACTTAATTATATAATCCAATGGTTCTTGACCATCTGCAGCTTTACTTCGTTTTCGGACAACCATATGCATAGTTGTTTGAAGCCATTGTAATATTGGCAATTTTCCCTCATTAACAAGTATGGCGACAACCACTCCAATTTTTGAAGGCCAATCAAGAAAAGACTTGCACTCAAATTCAACAGTATTTAGATGTTTCTTTCGGAATTTACGTGGATTTCTAGTTTTTAATATTTTATCATAATTTTTAGATTGTTTTTGTAATTCATGAGGCATTTCAGCTTCTTTTGCATCAGCGCTATCAACTTTGTGTGGCCTCAACCGTTTTTTATTTTCGATTTCGTATATATATCCATTTTGCAATAACTTCACATCAGTAACGTTTTTAGGAAACAAGAGTTCAATATAAATTAATGGATTTTTTTCTAATTGAGCAGTAAGTTTATTGACTATCCATTCAATGAAAATTTTCAAATTCTCCTGTGAATGGCTCAATCTTTGTTTAGTGCTTGAATAATCCTTTAGTATACGATTAAATACCTCCATAATAGAAAGCTAAATAATTTAAATTAATCATTAGCTAAATTAGAACTATTGGAAATGTGATCAAACATTATTTTAAATACCTTGAAGAACATAGCCTCTAATTGACAGTGTTTGGCAATTCGGAAGAACATCATTGTAACGTGTTTGATGCTTTCAGAATCGATTTCTTGATATTCTTCCAACAATATTATATAATTTTTAACCGTAATTTCATTCGCAAATTTATTTTCAATCTTTTCAAAAGTGGCTTTATAATTAATATTATGTTCTTCGTTCTCACTTTTCTCATAATAATCTGAATCAAAAGTTTCTTTAGTTGTACGATTCTTTTTTTTACGAGGCCGTGACTTCTTGCATGTTTCAACATACTTATTTGATTTTACGCAGTTCTCAAGCAAATGTAAAAACACGTGAGCTGTGGCGATTACACTCCGTAAATATCCAATTGAGTGAGAATGAGATTTGTATTCTCTAACAAGTTCTGGAATTATTTCTAAGTTTAACGATTCCTGACAAATCTCTGATTGCAATTCATTAGCGATCCATATTTCATCTATGTCATCTGATGATGCCAATACTTTTATGGTCAAAAAATTTTGTCTTAAATATTCAACCGCAAAATGAAGTTCAGACCATAATTTTTTTTCTCTCAAAAGCCTTATCATTCTATATGCTAGTAAAATTCCTTCTCCATCCATTATCTTTGAAATAATCTCGAAGTCATAAAGATTTTTTGAATTGGATTCCTTTCGTCGATCGTCAATTGACGACGATGATGACAACATACAATCCGGATCAATTGTATTTCCTTGTTTCAACAATAATCGTAATTCGAGAAAATAGCGAACTATGTATGAGTAGTGCACCATAGTTTGCGGGATTTCATCATATTCTCCATTTATCAAGTCTTTCTTGAGGGATCTTAGCAAAAATTTAAATCCATTTTCAAGAAAGGACAATGCAGTCGATTTCAAACAATCTTGCACATTAGGATTGAGAATTTGATGTTTTCTTAACTTATCGAATTCATCTAATGGCTTTGTTCTCTCATACTTCTTCCTCTTTATATCATCTAATGCTTGTAAACCATCGCCTTTTAATGCTTTTTGTTTGTGAACTACTAGATCAGGACCGTCGGGGTTTATAATCCAAACTGAACCTTTATAATGTGGATTTACGTTATTAAGCTTTCCCTTTTTGGCCATCTCTTCGTTTAATAATTTTTGGGCTTTCCATATCGTTTCTCTTTTAATATCTATAAATAAGCAATTAGGATTGACCCCGAGAAATATATGATAGAAAATATCAATAAGTATAACATCCCAATCAATGACATCATTTTTATTCGTTAAAAGGTTAAGGAAAAGGTCAATAAGTCTTGCATTTTTATATTCTAAAATCAAGTCATAATGAACTCGACTTCTTTTATTTTTTGAGAGACTTTCAGAATTTGGTGGGTCAACAATCGCTAATAAATTCCGACAAAAATTGAGCAAAAGTCGAATGATGTTTTGATCCCGTTCTGTCCTTTCTTTTGTTACTATACCAAGATATTTATCCAATAAAAGGTAAATTTGTTGTATGACTGTCGATTTTTTGAGAATATAAAATTTATAATTGGATCGGGCAGTCAAAAGTTCGCTTATTTTAGAAAGAGTTGGCTCTTTTCTCTTTTTATTATTGTGTTCTTCATTATTTTCATTATAGTCGATATCAATACCACTTTCATCATTTTCTCTTTCCAATATTTCTCGTGACTGTTCGTTCGGATCTTCAGGCCAGGTCATGATAACCATCAACTCAACACAAGCTAAAGCAAGCCGATTTTGACGTTTATCGTGAAGATTTGTACAATTTAATAAAATAGGTATTAAATCTGAATTGAACGTCTCAAAATTGTAAAGTAGATGTAGAACATCAATTTTAACTTGTCCTTCTAGGCGAAGGTATTCTTTTAAGTCTTTAAGACAAGCCAAACATTCATCTCCAGGTTGATACATTTGTCTTCTACTACCGTCCTTCTTCTGTACTGCTTCAAAACCTCCCAAAGCATTACAAATATTGAAAATAACATCCCTTAAGGAATCGTTATAAGTTGCTTTGTCCATTTTCATTAGTTTTCGTAAGCTGAAAAACTAAAACGCGTTTTTTTTTTGCAAGACGCGTACCATATACTAATCAGTAGAACTCGTCATTCCCGGAATTATAGGATCAACATTAAATCAACATTTCATTAAGAAATTCAAATTTTAAATAAATTATAGAATTAGAATTTAAATGAAAATCAGAAAAAAGAAATTTTAGGTTTTATTATTATACAAGAAGTGATGTACAGATTAAATATAATGATAATGTATAATTAATATAATAAAGTAATAAAGGAAAAATTTAAATAAAACTTATAAAGTAAATTAAAAGCATAAAAATAAAATTAATAAATATAAACCCAAATATATTATTATATTGAATATAAAGCTATATCAGTTATAAAACCTTTATTAATTGGTAAAAATTTATTTTTTAGTTCTATAATCAATATAGCTATTCTTTCATTTATGGATTATTATAATATATAATTAATTTATTCTTAATATATCAGAAATTCATAATTCTTAACTAATATAACTAATATAATGGATTTTTGATAAATTTTACTAATGATATAGATGAATCAAATTTTACTGTATATATATAATAGGTATATAAGTATAGATTCTTTACTTTTTTATTATTAAATACAAATTACTGTATTTTATTTTAATGGTTTATACTTGTAAAAATACAAATATATAGCAATAGTATACCAATTTATTTTAGTTAAAAAATATATAAATTTTTTTTCTTTAAATAATAAAACTAAAATTTTAAAAATTTGACTAAAAAAAATCCTTTTTAAAACAAAAAATTGTATTTTACTTATAAAATCAAACTTTCCTGTTTTTTTTAAAAAAACTATTTAAATAACAGCTTTTATAATCTAAGGAAAACTTGTTCTACTCATAAATTTACATATATTAATAATATTTATATTATTATTATTAAAATAATATCTCAGTCAAAAATTTTAAAATTTTAAAAATATTTTTATATATCAATAGTGATAATCACCACTGGTGATATTTTGCAATACCCATATTTTAAATGTTAAATTATATTTTCTTACTATTTAATATATGGTTATAGAAAGATAATTAAAAGTTCATTATAAAAAATATATTTATTGATTATATCTTTGTATTTCTGTCATTAAAAGATAATAAGCTATAATTAAAAGTCTTTAAATTAAAAAATACTAATAATTTTTTATTTATTAAAGCTTAGAAATATTAAAATATTACATTATATAATAATAAATTTAATGAGTTTTTGCTTATTTTTCTACAATCAATAAACAATATAAATTATAAAGAATATCTTATTTAATATTATAATGATATTATAATGAATGATTTTTTAACTATTTTTCTATAATTACTAAATGGCAAGAAAATGCAGTTTATTGTTTTTGAAAAAGTTCTTTTAAGATATGTAATGTAAAATTTTATTTATAATTGTATTTAAAATAAAACAATATTTGATCTGAAAAGATTATTATATTAATGTATAAGTTATATTTATTAAAGATTGCTATATTAATATTTATATAAATATAGTTTATATGTAATAAATTTAATAATAAATTATTTATAATCTATTCAATTTCAGATGGATTCTACTTGCCCAATTAAGCAGATAATTTTAATTGTCTGAATTATGCAAATTACTATTTGCAATATTAGCAAGTTTGAAGTAAACTTACAAATTTTGGCCCTATTAATGTATGTAATGTATCCCAATTATGATTCGCAGAAATTCCTATTAATTATTTCCAAAAAAATATCAAGAAAAATATAAGAAACTATCGAATATTTAATTTCTATACTAAACAAATCAGATTCCAGAATATAAAAACACACATTTAACATGTAATTTTTTCCAGAATTTAATAAATATTAAATACCTTTACAGATGCTAATAAGTTGGTAAACCCATTGAAATCTTCAATCGTCATCCCCGTATTCTGCCGTAAGTTCGCACATATGATGGATTATTCTAAATGGAATAATCAAATCCAAATATAATTGCATGCTTGCACCCCAATACTCGTCTTTGCTCATTTGTCTCATTAAATACCAAGTATCCAAAATAAAGTATAGACTCAATAACAATGCAAGGATAAATGCAGGGATCAAGTCGGAAAAATTAAACACCCAAGGATGAAGTATTGAAGAGATGATAATAATTACCACCGAAATGAGAATTCTACAGAAATTTAATAAAGATTATTTATATATGTATAATAAAAAATAAAGATAATAATAAAAATATATTAAAGATAATTATTTTTAATTACAAAGGTTCTTTCGCTCTGAATTTATAAGTTTTTTGATTTGTAAACGCAAGTACTGAAAGACCTGCCGCCAACATCAAAATTAATGTATCAAGTATAAAAGTAAATTGAAAAACAGAAACTAATATCAGGTATATAAATGAAAATAATTTAGTAATTAATTCTTTGAATCATAAAATTAAATTAATAAATACTCACCAAGTATACCGATAATATAAGCATTTAAACATGTGTATAATATAACGAAATACCAAGGTGGTTGAAAATCATCGTTTGATTTGTATGTTAAAGTGATCAATAAGAGCAACGACACGACGACTGAAGCCCCCAGAATCCATTCACTAAATTAAGCTAATTAACATCGTAGTTAATTGATTTAAATAAATTTGAAAAAGTATATCTTACTTATAATATTTTAGTTCGTTATAAAGGAGTAGGGCCGTCGTGATGGTAACCACTAGAAGTTCGCTAGTAAAAATTGCCCAAACTTTGCGAACGAATGCTACAAAAAAAATGGAAAATTTTATCTTTTGAAGCTTCTATGACAGTTCAAGTGTACAAACACAATCGAACACGTTCTTAATACCCATTTGAACCGATAAACCACTTAAGAATACTGGTTTTCCGAAAGGATATAACCTGTTCTCATTATCTGTAATTTCTTCAGAAGTTCGGTCGCTTTCGCTATGTCTACCGATAGGAACAACAGTTGTTCCTGTATCCGGGTGGAATGTTTGATAAGACATGGCTGAGTATTGTGGACATTTCAAAAGTGAACAGCTATGCTACACATTTAAATATCTATTTTTACTGCGGCGACTGATCTATGTATCATAAGAAAATCTGTGATACTGATTTCGGAAATCATCGGTTAGTAAAGTATACTTATTTTGCATAATCTACAAAAAAACCATCTATCTCAATAAAGTCACCAGGTGCACCACACTGTGCACCACTGGTTGATTGACACCACTTAATTCTGGCCAAAATTATATTTTCGGCCGGAGTTAAAAACATGTTAAAAATTTTTTTTAAAGTAAAAAATGTAATTTACCCATAAAAATCAAATTTTTATGCTTAAGAACTGCCTGAAATTTAAATACAAAAATCAAAACATTGCATATTTTTCAAAAACTATCTAAATAACAACTTTCTTAAACTAAAAATTATATAAAAAAAAATGCAAATGAAATTTTATAAAAGATAAACTTTAGTAAACTTCTATTTAATTTGATATAAAAGAACTATACAGGCACCATATAAGTCCGAAATTTTAACATTCTGATATAAACTGGTCAATTAGTCAACATGAGGCTTCCAATCCGAAATGTTGTGCCTTATTCTGGAATGTTCGAAAATCATCCAACATCCGGCTATTCTATATATGATTAATCACATGCCCTTTGAAACCAACTGTCTTTATCGAATAATGAATAAATTCACGTGTTATCAATGCCACGCCACTACACAATTGTTAACGGCTTGGGCGATCAAATTACAAGTTTTTCCGGTTGTTTTCTCGGAAAAAACGTGTCTATATAGATGTATATATATACTTTAATGCCCACTACCGTTTCTCGGAGCGAATTCGGTTTTATCGGTTAAAGTTAACGTATTATTACCTTTAGAAATTTAGGTCTTTGTGAATTAAATAATTAAAGTGTAATTTTTATATACTGTTAGAGCTTATTCAGGTCTATTATTTCACAAAATACTCACATGTTAATTATTTAATATTTTATAAAATTCTTTAGTTATATTCACTTTATTTATGACTTTTATTCCCGAACAAATTAGCTTTTCAGTTATAATGGCTAAAAACGGTCGTAAGGAGGTGGAACAGCGTAAGGGTGAAGAAAAGAAAGAGCCGCAAATACGAGACGAACAGCAAGAAGCATTAAGAGAAAAGGCCATAAAAAATATGGCTAAACGGCCAGACTATGGAAAAACCGGTCGCCACACTCACGTTCTTACGAATTATTTTGAAGTTAAAAAGGTATTGGTATTTATTTCGCTTGCCTAAATTATAATCAGTATTGAATTTAATAATTTTGATTTCATTAGATAGCAAATAAGCCATACCTTGAAAAATATGATATATCTATGAAGCTTATAATTCAACAAAGACCCGAGGGAGAAGGTAATCAAAGAAGACGCGCCCCAAAGCAACCAAAGCAACAAAAGCAGCTTCCTGTGCATGTACAGCGCATGGTATTCCAACAACTAGAAAAACAAGAACGTAATGGTTGGTTCAAAGGAATTGGTGTAGTATTTGATGGTACGTATTTATTATATCATTCACCGCTGAAAGTTAATTACTAATATTTTGATTATAAAAAAAAATAGGAAATACAACTCTTTACTCTACCGATTTATTGAGATTAAATAGTCCAGATTCCGGAAATACATCGGTGAGGTGTAACACATATTTATTAATCTTTTATTTATATTTTGTTGGCTGATGTTAAACATTAATGCATCTTAGGTTAGTTTAAAAGATGATCAAGATTCAAGGGGGAACCCAATGGAATATAAAGTTGAAGTTCAGAAACTTGACAGAGTTGACTTAGGCGAATTAAAGAAATGTCTTGAGGGTAAAGAAATGAAATGGGAATATTTTGATCTAGGTGATTTTATTATTATTTTATTTATTTATTTTAATTTTATATGTAAATTTATCAATTTATTTGTTATTTTTAATTTTTTTTCTTTCAATATAATTTTTATAGTTGGAATAAGAGGATTAAATGCTCTCATACATCATATTCCATCAATGAAATATACACAATTTGGCGAATCCACATATTTGCCTTCAACTCGCAAATCATTAGGAGGTGGTGTTGAGCTATGGATGGGATGGTTTGAAAGTGTGAGACCTGGACAAGGTATTCTCATTTATAATATCTTAATATTACTGTAAATTTATATGCTTACTTGATTATCTTTTACTAGATAGCTATTTTGTTAATGTCAATACAACTTATACTGTATTTTACGAACCTGGTATTCTTTCAAATTTGATTCCGAAATACCTTAATTCCAGCATCCCAGAACGTTTTAGTCAAAATCAGCATGATAGAGTGACTGAACTTATACGTGGTTTACAATTTAGACCTGTTCATCGTCCTCAAGTGAATACAAGATTAAAAATCAAAAGGCTTTGCCCGAATAATGCCTATGATATTAAAATTGATATGCCAGATTCTGGTGAAAAAGTTGATATTTACACATACTTCCAACATCGTTATAATATCACTTTACGTCATGTACATCTTGTTGAACTTGAAGGTCGCAGAAATGATAAAGTTCCAATAGAACTTTGCAATGTTATTGAGGTCATTCTTTTTACATATAAAAAATATACCCATTTTTATGACAATTCTAACATTTGTATTTTATACGTTTAGGGACAACGATTTCCTGTTGCAAAATTAACCAGTGCTCAGAGAGGAGCAATGATAAAACATACCGCTTTACGACCTCAAGAAAATGTACATCGAATTAATGAGGGTGTACAAGATGTTTTACAATTTGAAAAAGACTTTAAATTAAGCAGCTTTGGGATGGAAGTTGATGAGCAAATGGCGATTATTCCTGGTAAGTGATTTGTTTGTATTTGTTAACATAATTAATAGTAAATTGTCATATTCAATTTTTGTTACTCTTTTATAAAGCTCGTGTTTTGAAGCCACCACAAATTTCATATCATTCCACTTCCAAGGCGGGTGGAACTGTAAGACCTAAAGAAGGTGGATGGAATCTGAGAGATCGTAAATTTGTACGAAGTGGAAATACTCTTCGCTATTGGGTTGTAGTTGCATTTATTGATCAGCGAAAATTCAACCAGGCGAAGCAATTTGTAAAAGAGCTTGTCAATACTAGCCGACAACAGGGAATGGTAATAATTATTAAAATTTATATTATATTATAATTATTGTCAATTTAACCTTTTTTTAACAAATAAGGATATTGCAGAGACTAATCCTAGAATCAATTGTGTCAAGCCACATGGTGATGCACAAACATATCAACGCATGATTGAGGCAGAGTATAATAATGCGAGAAATCATCTTTTGAATGATTTACAACTTATGCTTTTTGTTCTCCCGGATGATGATGAAAAGCGTTATCGGGCCATAAAATATACCACTGACACTATTATTGGTGTTCCTTCACAGTGTGTACAACTTGATAAGGTGTATAAAACAAGTAAACAATATTGTGCCAATGTAGCGCTTAAAATAAATTTGAAGCTTGGTGGAACCAATCAGTCTCTCGAGGAAACAGAAATTCCTCAGTTAACAAAAGAACCAGTTATGCTGCTTGGTGCAGATGTTACTCACCCTACTGGTGGACGTGCTGGGCCTTCAAGTACACAATTCCAATTCCTTTTATATTACTCATTTATTAAAATTTTATCGATTATTCTTAAAATTATTTCTATTTTACAGATATGCCTTCAATCTGTGCAGTTGTTGGTTCCCTTGATCGTCAAGGCGGAAGGTTTATCTCTAAACTTGAAAGTCAAAGAACAAGGCAAGAAAAGATTGAAAATATGGGTGGTATGGTTAAGGAAATTTTAATAGATTATCGTTCAAAAAACAATATTTTACCTCTGCGAATTATCATGTATCGTGATGGTGTATCTGAGAGTCAATTTGAAATGGTTTTAACACATGAACTTGAAAAAATCAAAGGTACATATTAATATAAGTTCTTTTTTTTGACAATAAATTCTTATATAATTTTTTTAATATAATATAATATTAGATGCTTGCAAAGAAATTGACGAAACATATAATCCTCCTATTACTTTTGTGATTGTAGGCAAAAGACATCACACAAGATTTTATCCACAACAAAAAAACGATACTGATAGGTAATTGAATTTAATACGAAATCAATAAAATGAAAATGTAACATTTCTTATATTTCATACAGTAAAGGAAATTGTGTAGCTGGTACTGTTGTAGACCGTAAAATAACACATCCATATTTATTTGATTTTTGTGAGTATTTCTTTATTTATCATTAGTTTTAATAATTTATCCCTGTGACTTACATTTTATGTTTTTTAGTTTTACAATCACACACAAGTTTACATGGGACCTCTCGTCCAGCTCATTGTATGTTTTTTGTAATTATTCCTTTGTAAAAAATTATTGTCTTCTAACTCTGATTTCTTATATTTTAAGATCATGTTCTTTTTGATGAAAATAAATTTACATCTGATATACTGCAAAACTTGACACATAAACTTTGCTATAATTATCAACGGTATGATCATTAATGTTAATTGGTTGGTCTTATAATTTATAATAACTATTGATTGTGGATTTATATCATATTTCAGTGCTACCCGTTCTGTTTCTATTGCACCGGCAGCTTGTAAGTACCAATAATATAAATTCAAATAATTCAATTAACTAATTTATTTGTATTATTTTTTTTTTTTTTGTAGATTATGCACATTTGGCGGCTAAACGTGCACGGTAAGTTAATTTCATTACCATTAATTCGTAATTAAATATCATAATAATATAATAGTTATTTATAGATTACATCTTGAACAACAGCCACGTGGAGAAACAGAATTTGTATTGAAAGAAGTTAAAGAAAGTTTAGCTAAAGGTAATAATAATAAGTTACATTTTAATTATATATTATTATTTGACTAATGCCTTTATTTATTTTCAGATAATACGATGTATTTTATTTAATCATTCTTTCTTAGGTAAATTTATTCAAAATTTATGAAACAATTTAATAATTCTTTCAATAAACTAAATTTATATTTTTTTTTCTTTATATTACTTAATTATATTTAAGATCATACAAATTAAAAAAAGAAAAAATAAATTATTTTTGTATAAAAAAATTTTATTGCAATAATTTAAAAAAAATTACTTTTTATGATAAAAGGATACCAACTAGTTAATATTAATAGAAAGAATTTTAGTTTTTTACTTGTAAGCTGTAAATAATTTTTGTAAAAAAAAATATTCAATAGATAATTAAATAATCTAAGAATGGATGAAAAGTTTAATTTTGTAATTATATTTTTAATCCATTTACAGTATTTTTATTTAGTATATTAAATTTTTTTTTAAAAAAAATTCTGCTATGCATTTATTAATGAATAAGTAAAAAAAGATACAAACTAAACTATCTACCTGAAATTATTCCATTTAAGGAATCTCTCATATATACAGTTGGGCAGTTATAAAGATATACAGATACAGCTTATATGAAATAAGCTTTATTTTAACCCTTTTAGACCTTGTAGTCTATACTTGACAAACTACAAAACTACCCTTCTATAAACCATATTATTATAAATATAAACATCAAAAATACAAAGTAATGTAAAGGATCAAACCTCTCATTAAAGCTCCTAATGGTTCAGGCTAAACTGGGGAACCGATCCGAAACTGGCTCAAAATTCGGTTCAGTTCGGTTCGGGTATTAGAACCGAAAAACCGGCGGTTCGGTTCGGTTTAATCTGATTTTTTATAAAAATGCGAAAAATTGAATAGCCGTCCATCTAGTGATCGTACAAAGTCGAGTCATATATCATTGGATTCGTCTCGACAAGACGCGTCGAATGGTGGTAAGATCATGTCTCTAGCATCGATAGATCACACGTTAACCCGCGCTAAATGATTTATCAATAATTGGAATTATCAAGCTATCTATCGATGCTAGAGACATGATCTTAGCGTCATTCGACGCGTCTAAGTGAGACGAATCCAATGAATATAAATTCGTCCGTATACGACCACTGGATGGCGAATAATGTCAAGTTTCGCATTTTTTTAAAATTTTTGAGCTATACATGCTGCCCAAATTATTTTGGGATGCCATAATTATAATTTGGGATGCCATAATTCATTCGGTTTATATATAATTTACTATGTAAAGTGCCAAAATAATTTGGGATGCCATAATTGAATTTGGGATTTTACTTATAATTACGGCAGTCCAAAATAATTTGGGTGGCATGTATATTTTT